AAGTTTTTCTCTAAATCGGATGAGTAAATTTTCACCAAATTTTGCGCTTTTAGTTTAATCTCAGATTCTGACAAATTTTTGTGTAATTTCCTTGTAATTCGGGTTCGATAAAACATCGATTAATGACACTTTTTGGTCGATCCAGAAAACTGGGAAATTCAGACATCCGGGATAGCGATGGTCCCGAGCATCCCAGATAATTGGTTCTCTACTGTATAAATATTTCTTGTAATTAATCTCACTATCAATTTCACTGTTTTCTTTGCTGGTTTGTTGTTGTATTGTTGACGTGAAGTGTTTACATAGTTATCGATCGAACTAATCATAATGGTATTATCGATATCAACTGCAATATCGGCAGTATGTCGGTATTGCAGATAAAGTTCAATAAAAAAATTCGTAAATTAAAATCCATATTTATAAAAATGTAAAAAAAAAATATACAAGAAAATTTTAGCATATATTTTGAAAAGAGGGGAGGAGTAGGGGAAGGAGGGGAGGGCCCAAAAACAGCTATGCCTAGGGCCTACGAAAGGTATAATCCGGCTCTGCACATAGCTGTTCTAAATTAAGTGCTTTTCGAGTCAAAAATTACAATTTGCCTCATAATGATCACTATTCATATGAAAATTATTAGGTAATCACACATCAGAATTTAAATTAAAGTGATTTATATATCACATATTATGATTTACGTTCTGCATTCAATTTCGATTTGCAAAATGTACACTGTTACGAAAAATGTCCAGATTTTTTCTAAGGCCGACTTCGAGACCTACAATACATGTTTTACAACAATATTGCACAATTACAGTAAAATTCAATATGACTTAAAATACATTATGTTTTAAGACAAAGTTTTTCCACAAAATAGTTGGGAGTTATGTGGTTCTCTATCCATACTTTTAAATAATATATTTATATACAGCATAGTTAAAAATGAACTTACTTTTTGGTTACATATAGTATTGACATAAGGCTGTTCTTTAACTTTGATACGATAATGATGAAATAATTTCCCATCAAAAAAATGCCAAGGCATTGCAAGTGCTATTGGAAAAGGATTACCACAAACATTTATGGCCATTAAAATTGTTGTTACTCCTCTCATAAACAGGGTTGACACATTGACTGCAGTTGCATCTACCCAAGGTGCCTAAAATCAAATTGAATTCAGATTAGACATTTTTGAAATAATGTATTTGTCTTTTTATTTATGCACTTTCATAGTAGTTTGTACTTAAATTTTAAGTTCTTCACTGAAGCTGGAATATCTCCTTTTATTTGGGACACTTTTTATTTTTTGCTTTAGCCTAATTAAAATAATTTTATTATTACTTAACACACAATAGACCACTATAAAAATGAAAAGTTTTAAAAAATACTACCAGAGCCAACAATTCTATATGGAACAATGAACAATATTGTGTATTCATCAGAGTGTATACACAATATTGCATATAAAAAATTTCAAAAATGTAATTTTTGCACTGAGAAGAATAGATTGCATTGAAACCAAAATTTTAAAATACCATTAAACTGAAATGTTTAAAAAAAATATTCAAACTTTATTAAAGTTGTTTTATAATTTGTTTATAAAACAAAAATCCTTTTAATGATATTCCAACTTCAAAAAAAAAATAATTATATTGCGTTATTAATTAATTAGCGATTCTAGCAGTATTCAGAGACATTGGTAGCTCCTAAAAATCTTGCAGAATACTAACAGCTTTTACTCTAAGTCCCTAATGCTTTTTATCTTCTCAATACCATGCACTTAGTACTTCCAAACCAATATTTTTTTTTTGGTCTTTCATTAAAAAGAGATAAAACTTTCCAATGAATGAAATGAAAGAGTATCAGGTTGCTGTGGTATATATAAATACTAAAACTTTTTGTATCCACATCAATCAACAATTTTTTAAAAAAAAAATCTCATCTTGAGACAATGTTATAAGCTAATTATCATCAAAAGTGTTTATAGCAAAAATAAGTGCTTCGATCATTTTAAGAATGATGCATTCTATAGATCCAAACAGACTTTGTTGAACAGTTCCACTATGTACTAAGGGAAATTTTTTGACAGCTTACATTAGATTCATTTAATGAACATATCCTTTCATGATGGTGATTTGTTTAAGCAAAATTTTCCTTTGCATTTATTACCTAAGATTAAAACAGGATAACTAAATATAAACTTTACCGGGATTAAAAAATAAATTTCAAGGTTGTTCATTTTGAATTCAAATTAAATTTCAATATGCGGTGTATGTTTTAAACTTTTTTAATTTGGCAATAATTAATTCTATGACACTATCAGTACTTTGTAGTACCTGCTCACGACTAAACTAGGAATATTAAATACATTTATTTCAAACAACATACATATCTACAAGGGGTGATCAAATGAAAAGGTACGAAACGACGTAGAAACGTAACAGTTAAATATTTGCATATTCCGTTATGGGAGAACGTAGCGAGACATCTCGGGATGCGACTGGGATCGGAGCATGCGCGGGTGCCCGCTTGAGCAGGAGAGAGCAGAGGCTCTTATCAAAAGCGGCGTCCAAATGATGCGGCTGTCCGTATGAGGACTGGATGGCGTTTGCGTTGCAAAATTCGACGATTGAGGAGCAGCGAGTTGTTATCTGATTTCCTCGAGCACAGAAAAATGTCCTGTGAGACACTCCGACGCCTGCGCATGGGTGCAAGTCTTCCGTCCCCAGGACGGATTTCCGTCTTTCGAAAATGTCCGCGGACGGAAACAAGACTGACTTGAAGACGGAAATCGGAATTTTTTCTTTCTGTCCTTAAAAATATTTTTTAGGTCTACGTTATTGGTCTACTTTCTTATGCCCTGTTGTTATTTTGTCAAAAGACAGATGAATAAATATTTTTTGTACAGTATTTAAACTTGATGCATTATGGTAAAGCTTTCTTAGATAGTTTGCATATGTCGAGGGGGTGTTGCGTATGTTAGGTATTTCAGTCAAAAAATTTTCAGTCTTGGCCTTTTTTCCAACTTGCACCCATGCGCCTGCGCAGGTCCATCAAGAACAAAAGACCGGGGCTGCTCAAGGAGGGTGTGGTTCTGCTCCGTGATAACACGCGTCCACACGTCTCCAGACTCACACACATGGAACTGGCCAAGTTCAAGTGGGAGACGTTGGACTATACGCCCTACAATCCGGACTAGTCGTCCTGCGATTTCCATGTGTTTGGTCCACTGAAGAAACACATGAAAGGGAAGGTCTTCAACTCGGACAACATACTCAAGGACGCTGTGAAGGACTGGGTCTCGTCAAGACCACAGGAATTCTGGGAACAAGGAATCCTGCGGCTTGTTCATCAGTGGGATCGCTGTGCACAGGCCTATGGTGTATATTTTAAATAAAGTCTACATTTGTACCCACCATGTCGTTTCGTACCTTTTCATTTGATCACCCCTTTTAAGTTCATAATAAAATAACAGATTTAAAATCTTTTTTACAAGAAAGTTGCTGGAGAATTTAATATAACACAGACAACTAACAAGCATGAAATTTTATTTTATATCATAGAAATGGGTGGATTTCAAATTTTAGGCACTTGTGAATATTTTTATTAAGGCGACTATTTGCAGACAATTGTGAAAATTTTTAAACTTTTTTACAAATTGGCTACTACAAAAATCTAAAAATCTATTTGCAGTTTTTTGTATTTGTTAATCTGTTGGATTTTAATAAAAATTTGGTTATCTTAAAAAGAATGTTGCAGATGTTTGAAAGAATGGGTTTGGTTGGTGGGGATGCAAACATAAACAAAACTCAATTAAACTTAAGGTGAAAATTAATATATATATATATATATAACATAATTATCACTATTGACCAACCATTTTTTGCAATTCTTGGAAAAAAATAATATTTGGAAAAGAAAAGTTTCAGTATACTCCAATTATTTTTGATTTCATTCATTGTAATTTTTAATTTGCGAAATTTTGATTCAACATTTATTTATTTTTGGTTTGGTAAATTAAACATTGAATTAAGATTTTTATTTTATTTTTATAAATTGCAATAAAAAAAACTTATTTTAATGGTCCTGCCACACATACTATTCATATAATTAAAAATTTTTTTTTTAATGGCAGGCACTTGGGGTTTGTCCCATTGGCCACAGAACTGCTACTCTCTTCCCGTTACCCAGTGGGCACCCGTGGTGGAGCAGCGTCGCCAACGTCACACAAAGGAGAAAGGACATCCATGCCCTGAGTAGTATTCGAACCCGTGGCCAATGGCTCCGCAGTCGGACACGCTAACCACTCGGCCACCTGGTCGGCATTCATATAATTTTAATAAAACCTGTTTCAGATCGTTTTTGACATTAGAAAATTATTGAGTATCGTTCAGAAATTCTACCGGCATTTAGAAATATCAAAGTTTTTTTTTTTTTTCATTTTGAGAAGAAAAATAGTAGTTTCTGATGCTCATGATGAAGAAAATATAATAATTTATTACAGTTTTGTTAAAATTTGTGGGTGTCAGTTCAAGTAACAGTTGCGAATCTCAAGAAGTTAGTGATACCGACAAAGAAGTTGCAACGGAACCACAACCAGAGCCAACATTTCCTGATGGAGCAATGAGCAACATTCTGTATTTATCAGAGAAAGGAATTGAGAAATAGAATGACAGACTGTCAAAGGGTTTAAAAAAATTACACTAACCTGTATTTCTCTCAATTCTTCCATATCTTTAAGGGATAAGGCTTGAATGATTAATGCTGCAATATCTAATGGTTCTAGCAATATATCTGAATTCACTCCATTTATTAGGCAATTCAAAACAGAAGCTAAAACAATTAAATGCTTAGGTATATTTAGAAATGTGTCAAATTGAAATGAAAGTTCTAAAATAGAATGCAGGACCATCATTTTTTCTTCTTCAGAATACTGAAACCATAACCTTTCAACAGAGAATGGATGATCTGAAAAATTAGAAAACAAGTATTCTCAAATTTTTTATTGACTGGTGTAGCTGTAAAAGATAAATTTAAAAAGGCATTAACAAAATACCTCTCAGTCTAGGTGGAAGATTTATCGGTAATGGCTGTATATATTCTGGTTTTTCCATGGAATTCCCATGATAAGCACACCATTCCCTTATAAGAATTGGTTTCCCATCTTTTGTTAAAGTATTATCTGCAGAGCCTTGAGAAGAATAATAATTGAATAGAACTCCATAACACTTTTGTCGAATTTTACGATACACCAAAGCTGATGGGAGTCTAGATGTATCTTCGAGAACCTAAATAAGGTGTGAAATATATTTACTATATAGATGTGATTTATAAGTTTAATTTACTTAGACTCATCAGTAATTTTAACTAACTAACATTCAAAGATTTATCAAAGGGTCATAAATTTAAAATGAAGCTTTGCCTCTGTTCGCCTTACTCCAGTATAACCCAAAGAAAATTTTTTAAAAAGAGTAGTTCCACTTCCATATTAATTTTTTAGGAGTGAATTGCAAAATAGTGGAGAGGTTCAAATCAAACATTATGTTTCTAAATTACAGACACTCTGTAAGCAACAGCAATTGTTCTAAAAGAACTGCAATATAAATTATGACAAGTAGATACACTAGAATTAATATTTGCATACTTAACTAAAAAAAAAAATCACATAATTTTTATTATAATTTACAGGTTAAGTAAACTAAGATTTCTATAATATCAATACTGTAGAAGATCTTTACAATCACAAATTTAAAACTCAAGGCTTTGAGTTTTATTGAATTTTGTGCTATGTAGATCTACATACCTTTAAACTTACCAATCAAACAAGTTGAAAATGGATTAATCTTGAAATGCAATAATTTTTAAATTCAAATATTAAAAAAACCCAATATGCATCTAAATATTTATTATTCACAAAAAAAAATTAGAATTTTCTTGAGTATTAGAACTAATAACAAATCAATTTATAAACTTTTGTTTGCGTAGCTTTCTAAATTGAAATCTCATTGCAAGTAATTAAAAATGCAATGTAAAGTAAAATAAATAAATCTTGCTTAGATACAGAAATTTCTTAACTGGAAGTTACATTGTTTTTTCGCACAAAATTATTATGGTGGTTAAAGGAGAATTCCAGTTTATAGAATTTCGTTATATAGATCTACTGTAAAATGCGTAGATTTTTTTTTTTTTTTTGTAATTCTTATTGCTACAGTCATTTAATAGCATATTTGAAATTTATGTCACAATTTACATTTTCATTGGTGACATGAGAAAGGCATCCTTCACAATGCAATTTCTAAACCTCATCGGATTGCTCCAAACTGAAATTTTTAGATTTTATTATACATTGAATTACAATGGCAGCTGCATTTATTGGCATTGTTACAGCAATAACAATTAATATCCTAAACTCAGCATTCATGAGAGAAGTCATTTTTGCTCTTTTTAGGTGACTGATTTATTTTCTATAAGATTATCTTAAATCAAGAAAAGAAATTGACAATTTTAACCAAAGTTTTACGAAGAATATTTTCACTCCTGGGAAAATTTTGGAGGAGCAAAACTCACACCCTGCGCATAAAACAATTGCCTAGATCAGAGGTCGCCAAAGTGGTCTATATAGACCCCCAGGGGTCTATTTAACAAAAGTGGGGGTCGATCTGAATCGAAAGGGTCGATTGGGAGTCAAAAAAAAAAATTCTTTATACGCAAATCACACATACCTAGTTAAGTATGTAAAATTTGTAATTTTTTTTATAATAGACTTAATATCAGTTTCTTTATAGAACATAAATTAATAAACGTATATTTATTCGGGTGAAACAAGTATTTACGTACCAGCGTGCAGTGGCACGAACTCTGCACTTCTTGTTTATAAGTCATATGCATATGTGCGCTTGTCCAAATGTCACATGTGACGAGCATTGACATTACAAACGCAAATATCATAAGCAGTTTCAGCTATCTTTGCAAACTGTGAACAGTGTTGAATATTTGCAGTGTCACTATTAAAACTTTTATAATTTTGGATAATTAGTTATTGTTTTATAAAAACCATTCGTTTAGTTTAGATATCAATTTTAATTATCAATACATGTAAAAAAGAAGGTAAGCAATAATAATATGGATTAGTACTGCCCGCTACAAAACTATAGCACACTTTGTATTTTTTTACGAAAATTACAAAATTTTTGAAAATATTATTATTTTAATCTGATGTGTGTCTTTAACTTTCACGTAAATTCAATCTGAACTAAGTACAAAAATAAACTAAATGTGGAGTTTTGAGGAGATTTAAGATTAAAATTGGCCAATTTTGAACCCAATATAGCGAACCTTGCAAAAAAAACCCAGGCACACCCATCTCATTGATTAAGAAGTAATAAATCTGCAGTTACTTTACTTATTATTTAATAAATATTAAGGTATTTAAATTTCCACATTAATATATTTTTCGTAAAATTATTGTTACACAATGAACTATAACTTTAATAAATGCTTAAAATCATGAAATAAATGTCGAAACACAATATCTAATAGAGTTTTATTTTAATTAACAGAAAATTAACAGAAAATTACGATGGAGATTTCGAAAAATTACATAGGGGTCGATGATCAAAAAAGTTTGGCGACCCATGGCCTAGATGCATATACTCTGGTGACCATTGAGTAGTAAGATAAACCTTCATTTCTGAATCTAGTCATGGCACTTCGGTGCCTCGAAGATTTCACTCGGTGAGAACATAATGATTGTAGTTATAACATACATAGGTTACATAAATCATTATACAAAAGTGAGATTACAAATTTGTATTATAAAAAATAATAAATATTGTGAATAAACTAGTTTAAAATAAATGTGTTAAAGATTACCTCACTAGATTCATATTCTAAATTGCACAGTAAGTTGAACACAAAGGGAGCATTTACACACTGCAGATGCTTTGATAATACTTCACCTTCTGAACTTGGCTGCAGATAAATATTGATTTTATTTGAAGGGATATTATCATATCCTATCACGTAAGACGATAAACCTAATCGAATAAGTTGCATTAAGCTTGAACTACCACAGATTCGCTTTGAAATGGAATGTAACTCTTGTTTATTATTAACATCAGCTGACCAACCTTCTTCATTAATTATAGCAGCGAGATTTTCAGCAATATCACTTATAAATATTCTCCCTATTTTGTTGTTCGATAGATACCTATGAAAATAGTTTAACTTATAAGTAGGTATAATATCATTGCCAGCTAAACAAGCAAAAAGTGGTAACTGGTTTACATCTATATGAAGATATCGAAAAGCAAAGCAATCTCGATCATAGTGAGTTGTTGTCAGAGATTCTAAGTCAAGATGTAATAGAGATAGATAGGTTTTTGTATTGTAAATAATAAAGTCTGAATCTTGGCTGAGTATTGCGAAAACATCTCTATTATTGTTAGCATATTCAACAATGGATTCATCAGCTTCACGATCGGTTTGATAAACTTCAGCCCCGAGCTCTTTGAGAGCAAATCTCGTTAAGGTACCCATGGAGGTTGGAAGTTGAAAATGTTTCTGATCCGGCTCTCTATGATTGGCATGAATATTCGAAAAAATAGATTTGATTTGTTGGTATTTGGCGACACGTCGTTTTACCCATTCTTTGCGTTTGGCAGCACAAACAGTACCATCGAAAAAAAATACTAGCCTTACGCCGATGCTTCGAAAAAGAGAAATAAATTCTTCAAGCTTTTTTATGAATTGTAGCCATTGCCCTCCATATATCCACTCTAAATTCTTCGCATACAACCGATTTATTAAAGCCATGCCATCTACAACGATCACTGGTTCACAATTGAATCTTCGTCTGTGCTCATCTGCCATACGTTGAATCGATACTGATTTACAAGCATCAGGGCATTTATTTTCAATGTAGTACTGCAATCCTATAACCCCCATTATTTTATTATAAACTAAATATTAACTTTCATGCATAATATAGTTATCTTTGAAAATGATTATCATGCTTATTTGTTTTACTACAAAATCTAAATCCCTACAAAATACTTATTTGTTTACAAAAATTTGGTTTCGGTTTGCAGTGATGGTTGATAAGTATGTCAAAGTTACAGTGAATCGATCGTTCTCATTTAAAAAAAAAAACGGGACAGATAGTAGCCGAGAGACAACAGAGCTATAGAGTTATTCCTACTGTAGTAAAACTAGTTACGCAGGTTGTTGCATCTCACCAATCACTTTCTCAAATATTATTTTTTGGAAATGTTTCAAAAGTTTGTCGGAATATTCAGTAAAACTCAACATGATAAACTTTGTTTTTGATCTATAGAAAGGTAATTTAGAGTTAAAAAGGTTATTTACCTGACTTAAATTACATTGAATACCTACTAGTTGGAACAAAGTATAAAATCAGGAGAGTACCAGGAGTCATCAGCAGAGAGAAGCGTTGAGATAGGAGATCACTATCACTGCGACGTCCCAATGATTTTACCTATTTGACAAATTTTGCTTGACTATTCAGTATAGTTAAAAAATTATCTTCTCTTATTTAACTTAAATAACACAAATAAATTTTTATGTATTTCAACTTTAGTTGACTTTTTTAATGAAAGAATTCCTTCTTTCATAATAATAATTCATTTTATTTGTACAGAATTCATTCTGCATAGGTATCGTTTTTGGATTCCATTTCTCAATTCTTATATCTTCTTCAACAAATCCAATCCCTTCCTTCCCACTGAAAATTCCATCTGTCAATCACTCGTCATGGAGCTTCTAATTACACCAATGAGCCAGTTTCATCAGAAATTGTGAAATGCCAATGACCTTATCTTCAAAAACACTCTCCCTTTCTTTATGACAAATTAAAATTCAAATAGTGCAAGAGTGAATAGGTAAATAAAGTTAGTTTAGAACTATAGGTAACGCTGCATGAAGTTAAGGAAATAATTATCAATTTAGTTATGTATTGAAAGAAAACTTGAAAAAGTCGGAAATTTAAAATTCTATTTTTCAGGAACTATTTACCCGATTTCGCTCAAATTTTGAATTTTGATGCGTAAAATTGCATATTTTAAAATTACGTAAAAAATTCGATACCTTACGATTCAAAATATTTTCTATTGTTAATTAAAGTATTAAAAATAATAAATGTGTAGTAAAATTTATTTTTTTGCATGGAATTATATTTGAATAAGCGAATTTTATAATTGTGTGCAAAAATTTTTCAACTTGCTTAAAAAGTTCTCGAGATATGGTGAAATACGAAGAAAAGAAAATTATGAGGTCCGAACTTTGTTACACTCTCCTGACCAAACTATCAGGACCATATTTTCCAGATTGAGACTTCCCATATATTGGGTGTAGGAAATCCGAATCCCCTTTTAAAAAAAGGTATGTTTATTCCGAGAAAGTACGTTTTTGTGTCTAATTTCGTAGCTTGAAATATCGTCTGCTCTAACTAATTAGCAAAGTAATCCCCTCGAACCATTAAGATTGAATTCTAGAACGTGAAGATCCAATAATTATATCAAAAGTTACTCAAGGTAGTTCGTTTTTTTTTTCTTTTTGGAGCACTGTACATAGCTCGAAAAATGTGTTTATGAAAAATTTACATAGCTTAAAATGCGTGTAGTATTTGTTTGATTCCTTTTTTGAAACTTCTTAAACGAGCGTTGTACTTTTCTTTAAAAACAACTAATGAATCAAAATAAATATGTAATTGGGATATCGGCCATTTGCATAAATCTCAGTTGCACTTGGGGCGGTTTATTAAATTTGTCTGTTTAAAAAAAAAGAAGAAGAAGAAGACCACAAGTCAATAGTCGTCTTTATAAGGCTGCCCAGGACAAAATCACTATATAATAGTGTTATTTAATTGACGTTGCAGAAATTAAGAATTTTAAAATTCACTTTATTTTTTAGAGTTCTGAATACCGACGACAACTGAAAAGTTGCATTTGCAATATATTTTGTCATGCCGATCCTGAAGTCAGGGACAAAGTGTCTTAGATTATGCTTAAGTGTTCAAAATAAACAAGAAAAAGCTAGCGGGTGATTCTTCGTTTACTGTTAAATTTAGGTTGAAAACTTAAAAAGTGTATTTTTTACGGTGTCCATTTTCGTAAACACGCTTTTCGAGCTGTATAGTTTCAGAATTATTAAATTTTATTTATTTTATATACCTTGAAAGGTCAACAAAAATTCTATTTTTTTGTTCATCTTTTTTGCAGAACAAAAACAAAATATTCTCCTTAAATTTAAAAAGAAACATAATGATTGAAAACATTTTAATTAGGAGCTCGAGGTAATTATTTATATAAACTAATATCGAGAGTTTTTCGTTTCATTTTTCGCTTTCAAATCCTGCGTTTCCCTTTCCTTTTTCATTCATGTGACGTATGTGGAACGTCAAATTAATGGGATAGTAAAAAATTATATTTTTGTTTTAGCTGCGAATTTAGTTCTCTTTTTCTTAAAAAATTTATTTATCAAATGGTTCATCACTTATTTTACATATTTAACTAAAATAATAATAATTAAATATTTAACTATTTGCATTTAAACTGAGAGTAAAACATTCCCGCAACAGCTCATTGTTGGCCAGGGGGTTTATGAAGTTTAAGCTTTCTCACTTTTTGACCAATGACAAGATTGTGGTAATTTTGTCAGCATTGCGCATAGATCGCCTTTACTTACTTGATACGCTGATACACATCGATCTGAAGCTGAGTGGACACAAGACAGCCACTTTGTATTGAATCACAGTTCTTTACAACAGATCATTGCTTTACTCACTGACCAATCACGGCTCATTTACTAGAATTATTATGCAAAAAATCGTTAAATTAGTAACATATTGGTGGAAAATAGCATAGTAAAAATAGTAGCAACAAAATAATTTTTTTATTGAAGCAAATGAATTAAATACTTATTTATGATTAAGTCAAATTAGAAATTTCCATCTGCAGAAGGATAATTTGCCTTCTCCCAAAAATATAAGATCGCGATGACCTTGGTTATCAGAACTAGGAATCATTCAGTTCTAGTACCAGAAGTCAGAGGCCGGAATAGCCTGGTCGCTAGGGCATTGGGCTTATGTCCAAGAGGTCGGGAGTTCAATCCCTGCTGACCGAAGACCTAATCTAGTAAATGGTGACGGTACACGTTAAATTCGCGCGTGACACGGTCCTTCATGTTCCCATAACAAATCAGTGCTGAATTGAAGATTAATCGATCATTGTTTCAAGTCAAAATCTGTATACATTATATGTTTCAAATTGGTGATGAATGGGATTGCCCAATAAACAGGCTGTGACGTGTGTGTGGCTTGAAGTCATATTCTTGGCCATAGATGGCGGCACTGAAAAACAAGAAACGCACCATCTGCCTTAAAATTCGTTTAATATCATTGAGTAGGCTTGCTAGTACTTGGAAAGTGGCATTTGGAACAACAACAACCAGAAGTCTTTTATACAGACATAATATGATTGAAATTATATATATCCTTGTTATTTATTGACCGCGACAAGGTGTCAGAAGGAGGAAAAGTTAAAGCCAGTGAAACATGAGTGAATTGTGTTAGGAAAGAATTCCAAACTGGCTCATCATTCCGATTCTTTGGTTCACTACGATATGAAGTTCTTTAAATTAAATTTTTTTTTATTCATTTCCTTTCAATAATACGATAAATCAGCTATCTATGTACTCTTTTGCCTGTACACACTATATGCGCTTCAACTTTCTTTTTTTACTTTCTTTCCTTAAATCGCTGGAATAAACTCTATCGGTTCGTTTAGGTTCACTTTGCACCAGCCAACTTGTCGTGGTTGAAAAATGTATGTATAGATTTTAAAAGCAAATTTCTAATAGTTTAGTAAGTGCACAGTGTGAAAAATTAAAGAACAGAACATCAAATTAACTGTTCTCATATTTTGATTTCCGCCTATTAGGATGCTATCTAGATGGTTTGCTGAGCTTTGAATATGTTAATTAAATTGGCTCATATTTACATCAACAAAAACCGGTTTTGAATTGTGCGAATAGGTTCTTTCTTTCCTGAAACAAGCAAAAAGCAGAGTTCGTTATGTAATAGAATATATTAAACCTCTTTCCTAGCTTCGGAGATCTCCTCACTATGAGGCAAATGCTTACATTGAAAACAAATCAGTTAAGAGCTAGGTTAAAAGTACCGTAAATTCCTAATAAAATAATTTTTTTCAAATATATTCATATTAAACTTTTGATATAAAAGATACAAGGATTAAAGCACCATTTCTAATTTAAATTTTATTTTGAAAATAGCTGTGAATCTCAATCAATCAATCTATCTTTCTTTCGATTTCAGTTTTAACTGCAGGTAATATAAATTTTACTCAGGTTGCATATAAGGAAAGTTAAGAAGAAATGAAATTGGTATACATAATAAGTTATTAGACGCTATTTTTATTGAAATCACATCACCAGATCCAAAATTTGCATGAAAGAAATGTTATTTTACTTGTTGCATGGAATGAAATGGGTAACTCAATCAAACAACATTCATTCCCTTTACGTAAAGACTAGAAAAACTCAACAATCATATTTTTAGAAATATGTTAGGCTATAAAATGTCGCCTTACACACACTTTATTGCCTCAAAAACGGGATTTATCCACTAGGTATATTAATATATTTCATATTGCTAAAAAAATGAAATTAGAGCATGTACAACGATTCCAAAAAGTCATCGTCTACAGAACGCATTTCAAGAAGACCGGGAAACTAAAATTCTAAATAAACTCTTATGACTTTGTTCAATATCGAAATCTTTCTTTGGAATCATAAACAATTCATCGATTACTTGATTAAAAACTCCATTCGCTTCAAAAATATACAAATTGGAAATAACAATCGACGTGTTTCAAGCTCCCAAAAATAGGCAACCATTTTCGAGACTTACCAGACATGAATGAGAAGGAACAGAAGTGAGAAATACGAGAAATCATCAATTGCAGTACATTGCTGAAATCTTGGGCAGAAATTCAATTTCGAGAATGCCAAAATTATTTTCAATAAAGCAAGAATCCAGGTCATCATGTGACTGGCATGATGCCCTGGATTCTTGTTTTATTCA